CCGTGAATTATGGTTCCCTATGAAGTCGCGAAGAGTGTTTTAATGAGTACAGATTGAATCACTTTCTAGTACTCCGCCTATTCCTTCTTTAAAGCCTCCACTTAAGCTTGAACTTAAGTCATTACTGGACAAGCTCAAGTATGTTTTCTTGAGTTTAAATGACACCCTCCTGGACTAAAAATTCATCCCAGCCTTTGATGTTTCTACTTTATCTAACTCTTGCTCGGTTCCTTTATCATCACTACTAATCTCATGGTCATAAGGCATTTCAGCATCTTGCAAATGGGGATTTTCTAATATATAAATTGTAGTAAACAGAATTTCCCAATATATATATATATATATATATATATATATATATATATATATTTGAATTAAACACTTATGAAAGTAAAGCAACAAATTTAAACATTTATAATGAAAAACATAACAACAAAGCCGAGCACTAATGATGAAAAGCCGAGCACTGATGATAAAAATTATCATCAATTTTTTTTATAATTTTTTTCATTTCCTGCTTTTATACTACACTTTATTGCATTTTTTTTGTCTAAATGCATCTGATATCAGTATAAATAATTCACATCAAAATTAACCCAAACAAACCCATCCCAAACAACATCAAAGACATTCTATTTATTTTTTTTGAAGAAAGAAAATAAATCCATCTCAAACCATATATCAAACACATGGAATGCATATACTTCAATCTATCTCTTTGAAAAAAATTTAAAGACTATGAAGAATAATATAATCAAACAAATAGATACACATATTTACCTTCCAAAAAAAAAAAAAAAAAACACATATGATTCAATATATATGAATATGATATATGATATGAAGTCGTAACCATACCTTAAAAATCAAAGGTTCTTTCTTTCTTGAAGTTAATATGGTAAGAAATATTGTTTGAAGAGACTAAAAGCATCTCCAGTGGTATGTTAAAATATTCTTTTGTGTAAAATATACACTGCCACCTATGATGTGTAAATTTTTTCTATCTCCAGCAGTCTGTTAACCTACATTGCCACATCACCAATGTGTAAAAGGATTGTGTAAAATGTATAACCTTTTTACACGGCCAAATCAACATATTTCTTTTTCCATCCCTTTTTCTCATTCCATTAAAGAATCAACCATATATTAAGTAAATTTGTAAAAATTATGTAGGCCCTGGCATGACACATGGTTGATTATTATTGGGAGATATATTTTTACACAAATGGTATAAAACAACCGTTTGAGTTAAAATTAAATAATTCAAAATTTTTGTGTAAATTCATCATGACACATCAGATTTACAAGGGAAGAACTAGTAATGGGCTAACATGGGCTATAGCCTAGGTCCAATTGAAAAAAAAAATTATTACTATTGTTTTTATTAGTCCATATACTACTCTTTCTTTTCCTATCAACCTAGCCTAATCCATTGGATTTCTATAAATAAAAGGAATTATAAAATTTACAAAGACCAAGCCTTAAATATAAGCAAATCCACCAACCATGGACAAATCAATCACAAAATAAACCATAATAAAACATAACAGAGCCTAGCCCGCTAAATAAAACACATTGTTAGTCTACGGAAAAATACCTAAACTCTTCGTGTGTAAGACACTAAGGCGTAGGTGGATGGATATTATAGATTATTATTGTTAATCCAGTGAAATATTGAATTTTATTTTTGTTAAAAAACGGGGGTGGGGCCGCCGGGGGGGGGGGGGGGGGGGTTATTGTTAAATTGGGTAATTTACTATATAATGGATGAATAACTAGTCAAGGGAGAAGCACATAGGTCTGAGTTTTTAATGTGAATTTATTGATAAGGAACATATATATCTTGTATTCTTGTAAGTGTTTGTTTTAATACTTGTATGAAGCAGACTTAAGTGAATTCTTGACTGTGAAAATACATTAGAGTTTAAAAGTATAAATGTGTTAGAAGGTTGTAAATTATTGGATCTAATTAAATGACTAATGCATGAGAATTTTGTATTTAGAGTATGAATAACACACTAAGTAATCATAGATTTAATTATTTTTAATCCCCCTACTTTGCAATCCTAGTTCCACCCCTAGATTTACACAAAAAAAAATATACACAACGGTTGGAGATGCTCTAAACAAAGAGAGAGAGATTTAATAACTATCAGAAGAGAAAAACTTAGTCTAGAACTTAACAATCTGGGAAAGATAAATATGCGGAAGCGTATATTGTTTCTCCTTTTATTTTATTTTATTTTATTTTTTCCTTTTTTGAATTGTTAAAGTTGCTTATCTGGACTGTCACGTATATTCTGCCAAACTAATCGGTCAAAATCATTGGCCCATCTATCACCACCCATATTATATATATACTAGTTCTTGAAAAATTACAATCTATTTTGTTTATAAAGAAGAATAAAAAGAGTTGTTATTGAAGCTTTAAAATTATAGTTAGCTGTTACACTTCAATGAATGCTCTATAATTGAATATTCTTTAACTTGCTCTTTCTGCCATCTCTTCTGAGATTATTTTTGTTTCATTCTAACGTAAAATTTCGAATAACAATTTTTTTTTTTTTTTTTTTTTTCCATTTCCCTTATTATTTTACTCATTTCTCTCTTGAGTCGATGTTCTATCTCACACCTCACTCCCAACCTTCTTCCCTCTTTTGCTAGCATAGGGATCACCCTCAAAACATCAGTTCCGCTTGACCATTTTCATTCCACAGCTGAGAGCAACTGCAAGTCAAGTGAATTTGATCAAGATCAGCACATTTTGACAATTTAAATTTCGATTCACCTTCGGATCTGGATCTTGATATATCTAATCATAATATCTTGCTTTGGAAGCCATCCTGATTCAGCTATTCTATCTTTTGTGATCCAAATAGACGAAGTATTTATGATTTGGGAGATGTTATGATATAGTTAACTAAAAATAAATAGGAAAATAGTGGTGATTATATAACTTATTTAATGAGTTTCAAGAATGAATTACTACGTTAATTGGCTTTCATACGATTCTCTTGTTCAGATATTTTTAACAGTATCGAGGATACTGATTTTTGGTATATTTACCGGCGCTGAAGTTAAAAAGGAGGTTTTTTTTTATATTAAAAAAAAAAAAGAAAAAAGAAAAAAAAAAACGGGAATATTGTGGGAGAAAAGTTTGAGGGTCCATATCTAGTTCAACAGTTAAGCATTTAAGCATCAGCCATTTTTGTTTTGTTTTTTTTCATCAGTGTTATTGGTGCGGGTTTAAATTTTAAAACCACCACCTCTTTATGAAGAGCGATGCTATAGACCCGACACTGAACCAGTGGGGCGTCGTTGTCAATCCATAATTTATCCTTTGTAAAATATCAAAAAGTTAAGGGCATGTTTGGCTAGGCTTTCTGTAGCCTCAAAAGGGTTTCTAAGTCCATAAAGTCCTTTGCCAATAATAAAGAGTTTTTGGTAAAATTTCTAAAATCGGACTTATAAAAAGTCTCATTGATTTAAAATTCTGATTGACCAAAGCCAATAAAATATGCTTTTTGATCGACTTTTCATAAGCTACACACTTTTTTAAGTAATAAATATAAAATTCTTATATTGTCTATTATTTAAACTATTTCTATTTCTCTAAATTTCATTACAAACTTTTATGTTTCTATTTCTTTATCATCTTCTTCGTTGGTTTTCCACCCAACAAATAAAATAATAATAATAATAATAATAATGTTATGCAAAATTTCACAGAATTTTATTGAAAAAAATATTGTTGAAAAACGATTCAACAAAAGAAGAACAAAGAGATCGGGGAGTTACAGAAAAAAACTTCTATTGACTCCTTTTTGGCTTCAAAGTCTGAAAGAATTCCAAGATTTAAGAACTTTCATCCAAAATTCAACCCTTTGTAAAATTCTAAATAACATTTCTCTCTCAAAAAAAATATATATATATATATAATTTTTATATTTTTTTTGAAGGCTACCCGTTCGCTGTGAAAGTAATTTATAGTTATAAATAAGAATAAAAATGAGATATTTTTGCTATCATATCCCTCTTTCATTTATTTTCTTTCTTTTTCTATCTCTTTCAACGTTTAGTCGAGGGAAAAAAAAAAACGTCTACCATATAAATCGGGTAAATTTGTATACCTGAATCTTCGTTATGCCAATTAATCCTTGATGCATCATCGATAATTTCACTCCATCACTTTAATTATGTTTTTTTTTTCCTTCCTGTACTTCCACATCCCAATTAAACTCTTTGGTATTTTCATGATTTATTAAAGATATAATTGTCAACTTAAATTATGTTAATAGTCAAAAGAACTTCAAAAAATTTATTCACCAAACAATTTTTTTGATTTAACTTTCTTTCATCAAAATGCATTTTTTAGAGCCGATTCAATTGAAGGAATTTCATAAACTAAAAACTCCCCCAATACAGGACCTAAATTTGTGTGGAATGCTCCTCACCAAAATTTCTACCATGGCAATACCAATTTTTAACCTATTTTAGACATTAACCTGGCTTCAAGTTTCCTGTCGAGGCTTCTGAATTTTCTTTGTTTCTATCGGATTAATAATCAGATGTGGGTCCAACTGCTTTGGTTGTGTACCTTGTGCCGTTGCCTTCTGTCATACGAGGCTGTGCATAATTGACTAGCAAACAAAACTGCTTTATGTTAATTTATAATAGTTGGAAAATTCTTTATCACATAGGTTGATAGCGTTGGTTGCAAGATTAACTTAAATACCTCCACTAGTCTATTTGCTTTATCACATAGATTAATAGTGTTTGGCTGCAAGGTAAAACTCAAATACTCCACTAGTCTAGTTTTCATGGCCAATGATGTGTTTTGAGGGCCCCTCTGAGTTTCACCAGGTTAACAAGCTAGGGATTTCAGGTCCAAATAGACCCTAAGCATTGATAGGGGGATGATATGACACGTGGAAGAAACTGGTTGGGTTGTTCTAGATGAGGTGCAATCTATCAATCCCAACTATCCACCACTCTGAACCAAGTAGTATCAATCTGCATATACATTACCTCTCCATGTAAATGAAACAAACTGATCCACTTGGCTACAACTTCCAGCATCCTAATCAGTAAAAAAAAATGGCCACCATAACTGCTTGCACTACTGCCTCTATCGCACTCACCGGCATCGTGCACAAGGGATCACAAGTGCTTTCATCCTCACCTGTTCTTGGTAAGAATTCTTGAAAACTGTTTTAAGAAAACTGAACCAAACAGTTGAATATGATTTTTTAATTGTAATAATGAGAATTTGTTTCAGGGTTGCCAGCATTGGCAAAGAAGGGAAGAGTGAGGTGTTCCATGGAGGGGAAGGGGTCAGTGGAAGAAGGTAGTTCAAATATGGGCATGGGTGCATCGATGATTGCGGCAGCTTGTGCGGCAACCATGTCGAGCCCAGCCATGGCTTTGGTGGATGAGAGGATGAGCACAGAAGGGACAGGACTTCCGTTTGGTTTGAGCAACAACGTGCTGGGTTGGATCCTCTTGGGTGTGTTTGCTATAATTTGGGCTCTCTACTTTGTCTACACTTCCAGCCTTGAAGAGGATGACGAGTCTGGATTATCCCTATAAATATATGTATCACAAGGCCATTGTTGTTGTTGTTGAAACAATTGATTTAGACCTCTTTCTATGATCTAGTAGATTATCTCTTAATCCATGCGTCTCCGGTGTAGTCAATTCCCAACTTCGGATACAAATTTAGCATCTGGTTTACCAACATCAGATGCCTAGTTAAATAGCTGTGAAACCAAGTTATGCCATAATTTCTTGAGATAACGCAATGCTTGTTAATTTTTAAAAAAAAAAAAGTTTTAGTAGAAGAAAAAATACTCTAACTTCAAAAAAAAAAAAAATGAAACGTCCCACACCAACCAAAGGCAAATGCCTCAAAGTAATAAGTGAAATTTGTATTATAAACCAGCTATACAAGAGTTAAGGAGCACAAACCTCGTATACAGATAACAAGTGAAAACCTGAATTAAAAGCTAAAGAGCCATCATCTATAATACAAAGAGAGGACATTCTCAACAAAATGTTGTGAACGCCTAACTAAAAATCACATTATCCACAACTAGGTTCAAAACAAACAGGTCTATAGTCCAACGAATTCTGTGAGAATAGATTCCCTTTAAGGTTGCAGAACTCAAATGTAATAAAACATTTCAAGGATAGGCTATGGCAGAACCGAAATTTTTCATTCAAGGTTCCTCCCTTGTCAAGAATGGGGTGTCAATTTGTATCCACTGCAGCGTACAGAACGTAATACAAGTATACAACATGGGCAAGACCCTTCTGTCACCTTGATTTTTCACAATAAACACTTTGAACCAGACAACAAAATAAGGAGCCTTAGGTATAATGAATGGAGCAAACAGAATTTTCCGGACCCAAGGTTTAAGGCATTAATCTTGAAAGGAAAACCTTAAAAGGAATTAATAGAAAATTGAGAACCTAATATTCAGGGACCCTTGGAGTTGAGGCAAGTCACCAAAGGGATTTGGTTGATCATAAATTTTATATATATATATCTATATATATATATATATCAGTAGAGACGGTAGCACAAAATCAAGATTGAATCATAAAAAGAAGTACCCAAACAATTGAAGCTAGCTATACCACTGGATCATTAACTAGTCATTACACATCAAAATTACTGTAGGAACCAATGACAATGATACACCAACAACGGAAAAGATAGAAGGAAAGAAACAGGGAAACAATGGCGTTTCACATTAGCGGGGGAAAGTACCAGGACAATGTGATCAAAAATGGTGGAATTGGTCCCGTTCTCCCTATGCATGAGGGTAATGGTTCAGCTTGTATAGCAAAACTTTTCCGGCTGCATTCCCCATAGCCATGAAACCTCCACCAGGACTAAAATCCAAACAGCGAGGATAATTTAAGGCCCGATTTGGAGGGGGCCAATTTGAAAACACGGTAAATGATGGAACGTGAATAAGCTTTAGACTGTTTTTCTTCATGCTGGAACTGATCGCCAATATCTGAGCATCATTATTGAATTTCATAAAATCCACTTTAGTTGTAAGATTCTCGATCGTTTTTATTGGTTTTCTCTTGCCTCCTAAAAACTCTTGCCTATTGTAAACATTCACAATCCCACTGTCTGAACCTGCTGCAAAAAAAGTTCCAGTTGGGGAAGTACAAAGAGCCGTACCATTTATACAACCTTCATCAACAGCCTTGTGGAAGCAAGCCCTTGTTCTCAAATCCCAGTGGTAAATGTGCCCATCACCCCCAGAGCTCAGCAATTGCTGTCCATCACTAGAAAAGGCCAATGAACGAGCAGTCCCATTCATCTTGAGTGTTCCAATCAGTTCCTTTGTTTTTGATGAAACCAGCAAGATATACCCTTCACTGCCCACAAAAGCTATTGTATTAGAATCAGGGGAAACCTCAAAAACTTCCAAGCTTTTTTCCTCCCTACCAATTAAGGGACCTACCTTATCGACCTTCGCTTTCACTAGATCAAAGCTGTAGAAGAACTTTCTCCTTCCTGCTATTATAACCTGAGATCCATCAGGTAAGAAAGAAGCCTTTCGAATAGGACAATCATCAAGGAAGATGCTTTGTATTTTGGTGTTCCTTTTGCCATCTATCTGAAAAAATCTCAGCTTTTTATCTAATCCACCAGCAAGGAGCAACTGCGCATTTCTATGGAACTGAATAGAATTTATTGGACCATTCGAAGGATCTTCCGCATTTGCATCAACCAACCTTGAGAACTCAAGGAGTCCAGGCAACAGCTTCGCACTGCCCTTCACAACAAGGTCTTCATTTGTTCGAAGGATGTCATCAATACCTTCAACATTTTTGTAACCTCGTGCAAGTTCTGCACCATTTTCTTCTTCAGAATATTCCTCATCAGAACTGTAATTCCTCAACCGTGAATCAAGTTGGGCCCACTCTGTGCCTGGGTTCAACTTTACATGCTGAGCTCTCAATCTTGACACATATGCTGAACCAGATATCAAGCTCTCACCCTCTTCCTTCCTCAGCTTTCTCAACCTGTTAACTTTAGCTATATTAACATTGGTTCTTTCCTCCTCCTCATCCAACCATACAGGTTTCCTTTGCCTAGTCTCCTCCTCATTAGTTTCCTCACCAGATTCTGCATCCTCTTCGTATACAGACACTACGCTGTTCGCAGACTTGTCTGTAAAGAATAAAGCAGAACTTTTGTCGACCCCATCTCTCACTTCTCCCTCATCATCATTCCCAAATTCTACAGGGGCGTACAAAGACCCGAATAGAAAGTTCTCCAACTTCTTCATTTCCCTTTCCTGCTCAATTTCAAACTTCTTGTCATCTTCCTTACGTTCCCTCTTTCTCTTTTTCAATTTTAAATTATCTGAATCATGTTCTTTTCCATCTTCCAACTCTTCATTCTCTACCAAAAGTGCAAGCTCGTTAGAAGCCTTCCTTTTAATCTTCTCGCCTTGGTCTTTAGGAAGTATACTTTGAGAAATTAAACTCATCATTCACAAAGGCTACAGCAAAAATAAACAGATAATTACAATCACGCACTATATAGACAGGTAAAGTATGCAACCAAAGCTAGATTGCAGCATAATCTACGCATTAATATTGCAGCCCTTAATGATCATAATTCCATGAAAAAATAATGAACAAAAAGAAACTTCCCTGAACTTGTCAACCCCATTCCACTCGAGTATTGGGGCCAAAAAAAACAAAAGAAAAAGTTATGATGATAAACACTGAACAAGTAAAGAATCAATAGTCCACAAACTATGGATAAACTTATGAAATGAGAATGAAAAGCTAAGTCCCAATTTTTCAGATAAGCAATCAAACAAACCCAGAACATTCACGGCAATAGAGGCAGTCATACAAAATGGAAAAAAATAAATTTCTCTCGCTACAAAATTGAAAGAAAAAAGGGCACTCAGAAAAGAGTATTTGCTAGTGTGATCTATAACATACAAGAAGGGTAAAAGAATGTATCAATCAACTCCAATAAAATATTAACATGACCATAATAAAAGCGGGGATCTTAGTAAATATGACATTTATATTTAAATCAAGATTGTTAAAATCGGGATTCTACGTAGAATCGTTTTGGGTTCCGTAGAATCGGATCGTAAATCGTAAAATTCTACCAATTTGTAAAAAAAAAAAATTCAAAATACTTTTTTAAACAATATTGTTTGTAAAATATAGCAAGAATAAGGCCAAAACACAAAAAATTGAGACATAAACAGAACAGAAAATAACACAAAATATAAATCCTCAAAATCATCATCACCAAGTAGTCACAGACTCAGGTATGGACTATGGAGTATGGACCAAGTAGTTATTAATATGTTTACGATTCGAAACAAATCACAACACAACAATAGAATACTGCTTCTGAAATTTCAATTGATATGAAATTGAAAACTCCAAACATAAATTATTGCAAATCACATTATTTAACCTCCTCAGCCAAATCAGATTCAAAGCTCTCTAACATAATTCTCAAAACAATACACCCTAGAATATGATGCTTGGATTGCGATTATGGAAACAATTTTCAAGAACAGTTTTCAGAGAATCATAATAGAAAACGGTTTTCAGTTTTTTCAGGTTTCCAACCTGCTTGGTTGGAAAAATTATAAAATAGTTTTTGGAGAACAAAAACTCATAAAACTGCTTGGTTGAAAATAGTTTTCTGAAAATAAAGAATATTGCATATAATTCATTTTTTTTTTTTCTTAAATTTATTATACATATTAGATGTGGATTACTCTTAAAGTCTTAAATATTTTTAAAATTAACAAAAATTGCACTAAAAATGAAAAGGAGATTTAAATTAACAAAAATTGCACTAAAGATGCTATTATTTATATAAGTTCTTTCAAATTCTCACTGCCTTTTTAATTTATGTGCCAGTGTATGAGTTGGAAGTCTACACCATGTTGCAGACAAAGGATAGACTTCTAGATTAAAAAAAATTTGATCAGATTGCTTCTATACTATACAAACACCAACAGCCCTGTGGCCTAGCGGTACAAGGCTCCTACTTCCCAAAGGGAGGTCAGGGGTTCGAACCTGAGTGGAGGCAGTGTGTGTGAGTCCCAACTAGGAAAAAAAATATACTATACAAACACATCCACCTCTGTTTTCCAGTTGAAATTACCAATATCATTGAAATCCATCTTCAAGAGGACTGTCCTAGCAACAGCGCAATCACACAAAAAGTGGACAATTGTCTCTCCACCATTCCCACAAACCAAGAACCATGAGACAATTCTTTTATTATATAAAGATTCAAATTAATCAAGTCAAGAATAAAACCCAATAATCTGAAATATAAATATACTGTATATACCAATCTGGACCATCTAATCTAATTTTCTGGTTTTCACATCAACAAGTCAATCTCCAAAATAATTTATTGGTTACCAAATCAATATACCACCCAATTTTTTTTATTTTTTATTTTTAGCAAATACCACCCAATTGCAAGACCCAATTTAATGTTTCAGTAAAAGGAATTAAACACAGTTTCCATCTTCCCCAAGAATGATCCGTGAGAGAAAATGAAATCTTAGAGAGAAGGTTTGAAGATTATACCGATCTGCGACACTAAAGAAGTTTTTTGAGAAGATCTGCAAAACACGAATGAATGAAACAAAACTGTCATTTTCCCAAGAATGGTTATGAGAGAGGCCAAAATCTTAGAGAGAGAACGATCAAGGATACAAAGATGGTACCGATCTGAGACCTGAAGAAGTTTTATGAGATGATTTAGGCGTGGGGCTGGAAAGGGAGAAGATAGGGCTATGATGGCGGCTTATAAACAAGAAACCTTTTAAGTGAGATAAGTGGTCCTCCGTGTCTCCACACAAATGAGAACAGTTTTAGAAACTCTGAGAACACTTTTAATTGTTCTCTAAAAACCCATACTCTCAAAACTCAATTTTTCAAGAACTGTTCTCCAAAAACAGTTCCAAGCAGACAACAAAATTGTTTTCTGAATTTTTGAAACTTTGAAAACAGTCCAAGCAAGGCCGCCACTTGATTAGTTTCTCTGTAAATAAATTTGCACAGAATATAGAATGGAAGCAGAACCAAAAAAAATAAAAACCAACAAAATAACCTTGAGTTTGTAACTTTGCTGAGTAATCTGAGAAGTGAAAACTTAGAAGGTTAGAGGAGTGAGGATTGAGGACTTCAAACCTGTTGAATTTGAGAAGGCTTGATGCGTTTGCAATTGACCGTGTCTGAGACTCTCTGTTCGCGACTGTCGAAGAGCAAGTTGAGCAACCAATCTTCGATCAACAGTGTCATTATCAGGCTTGGTGTGTTCGCTGAATGTCGAAGAAGCAGTGAGAAGGCTCAAAGTTGCTTGTCAAAGAGAAGCAGCTGTCTGAAATCTGAACTCGATTGATTTAGTGTTTTTTTGTGCCTTTTTTTCCTTTTTTCATCCTTATATTTTATTGTATTTTCTGTTTTGGGCACAAAAATGGTTGGGCTTTCTTATTAAAAAGATCCAACCCCTCAATAAAGGCCGAACAAGGTGTATCAGCCCCAAAAAAAGGCCCAGGCAAGGTGATACAACAGAATCATTCAGAATCGGTAAAATCCTAAGATTCTAAGACCTTGATTCCATGAACGATTCCACCAATTCTACTACTCCAGGAACAATTTTCGTGCGATTCTAATCATTTTGGGTACTTAGGATCGTAGAATCATGCAATTCTACGACCTAGAATCGCGATTTTGATAACCATGATTTAAATACAACACATTTAAGCACAAAACAACAATACAAATATATAATAACGGAGAATAATTAGTGGAATTCAAAAGGTGTTCAAAACAACAGAAAATACTGAACATAACAGCACCCAAAATGAGTGAATTGCTGTACCCACCTGCCCGGCCCCTGTTTAAACTCCCACTAAACTTTTTTTCACTTAATTTTTCTGTTTGTTCCCAAAACATATAAATCAAGCATCAGTACACTGCTGCTCCACAAAAGACATCAAATATAATTACTTATTACTTCTGCATCAAATTTAAACATAAGTAGGTACATATATGGGGACACAATTTAGATATGAGGATCTAGCATCAAGATTTATGCGGACCATGCAAAAATCAACACATATTATAAACATAATCACTATATTGGGAACATGATCAAAATTAGAAGGATGAAATCATCAAAAAAAAATTTAAAGTCTGAAATCATCAACCAGTTAACAAGAAAAGGGGAGGAAATAAAAAAACAAAAAATCAATATGATTCAATCTTAAATTTTCCACCACTCACTAATTGAAAAACTCCACTCATTTGGTCATAATGCAAATAATTGTTTTGGAACAGAGCAATAGATTACATTAAGCTCAAAATCCCTCAGTTCTTTCTTTTCATCCATTTCTAGGGAACCAAACAAAATATACAACAAAAAAACACAGAGAGTTTTTCAATTTTGAATATTAAATCATATGTCAAAATAGACAGTAAAAACTAAAAAGAACAAATACATTCAACAAAACTTCCACATGGAGTTCAGGAATCAAGGAGTAAGAAGGAGAGAGAGAGAAAGAACTGACCGGAACGCGCTGGGTCTGTGAGACTAACGGAACGCGCGGGGGTCGGCGACGGTGACGGACAACGGTGGCAAAGGTGAGGACTGAACGACGACGTTGCAAAGAGAGACAGTCTTGACGGCAGAATGGGTGATGAACATTTTAAGAGACTAGGGTTTCGGTGTTAAATATATGGGGAGGGTAAATTAGTAAATTAGTAATATAAACCGGGCGGACCCGCCCAAACCCGCACATGTTTTCTTCTCTAAAATCCGTCCCCCCTCCCAAACTCTCTAATAAATGATGGGGAAGATGAAACCTCAAAACAGATTTTAAACAAGATGGCGCGGATAAATTGCCATACTTAGAGGCATGTTAACAGAAATCGAATAGGTTTATGATAGGTTTATGAATCTAAATGCAATATTGACATAATATATGAAGTTACATTCCAATATTCAAAACATATTAAAATTATATTACGAAATATATTAGAAATATCAAATAAGTGTTCAAAGTACATGAGAAATATCTGTGTTAAAAATAAAAATATATATATTTTAAATTTGAAATATTGAATACGCACAAACGAGTATTTAAGGATATCATTGATGAGATAATATGTATGACTACAAAATCAATTTAATTCTGTGGGACTAAAAATTCATATTAATTCGGTCTTGGTGTTAAAAACAATTTAAAAAATAAAAAAACATGGTTCTCTTTATTAATATTTTTTCCCCCTCTGAGGCAGTATTAAAACTGGAAAAAATCCTAAAAAACACGGTTATATTTTTACTGTAATATTACACAAAACTAATGTTAATATTTTTATAGGTAAGGAGCAATTATGCAGGTAGACTGAATCAGTGAATCGCAAAAGCAATCTGCCTTGAATTGTTTGGACAAATTGCTTTAGACTGGACTAAATTTTATTTCATCAACTTGTCTCGGTGGAAATAAATAGATCCGGACCAACTTGGGTGAGTGGAAATAAATGCATTTGGAACTACTAAGTACACAACGACCGTCGGCAGCACACCCATGTTGACCCAGCCTCACTCTCTGGAATTCAAATCCTCTATTGTGATAGTCTTTTAGTGTCACGTGATGTCTTTTTATACATTTAAATCATGTTTTAACATATTTGTTTTATACTTTAACACAATTTCAATATATAGAGTAAATGTGTCAAAATATAATTAAAGTGTGTTAAAAGTATAAATAATGATGTTAAAAAGAGACTGTAAGAAAATTAAAAGGTATTTCAACAATTGTAAAACAATTGTGATAAAAATAGATTGAAGTGTCTTAAAAAAATTTACAGCACACTGAAATATCTAGATATCACCTTTTGAAGCTGTCTTTTCTTTTTTTACCTTGGCAATAATACACAATGACAAAGACAACTATTTTGTTGAACTATTTTTCATCTTAACTCACAATTACAACAACACCCATGTAAAATACTCATTGCCAATGAATTTGACAATTACTACTTTTCAACGAAAGCGAAATAATCTTTGAATCCGGTGGATTTTAGTTGGTACACTCTTGTTTGATTGAATTGGTAGGAAAACTTAGTTGTCATTATTTAAACACTCTTGTTAAACTATTTTTAAACTATAATGACAAATAGATCCTATAAAATCTTTCCAAAGACAAATAAGTCGGTTCATTTTACACGAATGATGAATATTTTTTCAATATTGTCCTTTATTGTTAAGTTACTATTACTGTATTTATTTTTTACATAAATCGAATAGGTTTATGATAGGAAAAAATATATTCGGTGGGTCCGATGATGGAGTTATCAAAGTCGTTTGCTTTTGCGTTTGTTGTTATCTGTGTACAATGCACCAAGCACATCGAATAGACCAATTGAGGCACGAGAAGTTATGGAACACTGGGAGGTGAAGGTTATTGGTTAGGGGTATACAATACTATCCGAAGTAGGACCGAGTATATATTTTTCTGGACAATACTTAGTTACTCACTGGTGAGTAGGGTGAAGTTACGCACCCCTATGCGATCGAATAACAAAATAATACATTACCTTTAATAATAAAATAATTCACACCTAAATAACCATATATAGTGTTTTTAGGCGTGAATTATTTTATTATTAGATGTGATGTGCTATTTTATTATTGACCATATAAGAGTGAGTAGTTTCACCCTACTAACTAAACATTATCCTATTTTTCCGGCATGTGGTTTGTATGAGTTGAGATTGACTCCAAACCCCCCGCTAAGCCCACAAACTGACTGGGCCTGAGTTTGCCGACAGGGAGCAACTCGTGCTGATTCTCTAACCCAGCCCATAGTCAAACGAATGAAACCTAGAGAATTTGGATTAGGCCTTGGAAGGACTGTTCCGTGAAGCCACGACTAGGGTCTGTCATCTAGTCAACTCGGGACCCTCCTAGTCTTACTGCGTAGGCTAAATGCCCTTGGCAGACTCTTTAAATTACGAAAGACCACTGCTTTAGTTGTGCATAAGCGACATTCACGCTACGATGTCTTTGACTGGAGGATCCAAAACCTTTCTTGTTTATTTTTTATTTTTATGATTTTTTATTCACTATTTTATTAATTAGTCATTATTTGATAATTCGTGAATACAATTACCACACTTGAAAATAATAAAATTTGAATATTAATCAAAAGTGGGGATGACAAAAAAGAAAAATTACCCAAATCTCTCTAATAATAAATTATTAGATGAGTGATTTAATTAAATGGATTATTAACGAGTCAATTAATAAAAAATTATTATAATTAGTAAATACGATTTTTATTTTTTTGTCAACTTTTTTAAATACTATGAATCTAAATGCAATATTGACATAATATTTGAGTTTGTTTCACATCAAATAAAATAAGTATCCTTAGTTATCACTTAAAAAAATTTAAATTTTTCTTAAAATTTATACTATAATATTATTGTTGAAAAAGTTACATTACAATATTCAAAACTTGTTAAAATTGTGTTATGAAGTATATGAAAGTATCACATATGTGTTAAAAATAAAATAAAATAATATTTTAAAATTGAAATATTGAATACGCACCTGCGAGTATTCAATGATATCAGTATTTACCAATATAGTTAAAATGAGCAAATATGTATGACTACAAAATCAAATTAATTCTGTTGGACTAAAAAATCATATTAATTCTTGTCTTGGTGTTAAAAACAATAAGTTTAAAAAAAAAAAATTTTAAAAACATGGTTCTCTTTATTAATATTTTTTTCCCCTCTGAGGCAGTATTAAAACTGAAAAAAAATTCTAATAAGTCCTACTTTTAAACTCTAAAGACAAATAAATCTTATAAAATCTTCTCAAAGACAAAGAAGTCGGTCCATGTTCTATGAATGATGAATATTTTTTCAATATTGTCCTTTATTGTTAAGTTACTATTACTATATTTATTTTTTTTTACCAAAAGACAAATTTTCTCTCTACTTTCAATATTTTGAAACTAAAAACTTTTATAAAAATATATATATTTGTTATCAAAATAAATAATCCTAAAAAAATTAATAAAGTTTTTAAAATACACTTTCCTAAATACTCACATGTTAAAATACAATGAAAATATTTTCGTTTAATACTTTTCGAATTATTCCAATTATTTTTTTATTTTCTACTTCATATTTTAACATGTGAGACCATCTCCAATACAAAATACCATTTTTGCATGCCAAATTTATATTTTGAGATGAGTTACAGTGCCAAAATGCTATATTTTAGCAATTCTGGTATAATGGTGCAGTTCATCCAAGATACTATTTTTTGGCACGACAACCATTATTTTTCAACTACCATTCCCAACTACGTTTTTTAATAACCATATATTTTTTATTTTTTTTGAGTGTTTGTATTTTATTTAGCTTATTTGCCTTATTAAAAATAAGTAAATAAAAACACTGACATTTATGTATATATACAAGCACAATAGACATATATATACACACACGACATACATATACATAAATATACACACAACACTGACACACGTATATATATACACACACACACAAGCACAACATCAAATTGACAGCTTAACACCGAATACCATGCGAGAGAGAAGAGGGAAGGAAGAGAGTGATAGCAGATTTGGCAATACCTATATGTTGTGCTATATTTGGCACAATATTTGGTAAAATTATATTTTTGTAACCCATTTGACATGTCATTGGAGAACCAATTTTAAACCCACATGTTATATTTTGAAAATAGCAACCAAAATAATAGCCCATTGAAGTTGCTTTGACTGTTTACGAAAAGTGTATTTGACATACTTTATTAAATTTTTTATGATTATTTATTTTTGTAACAATAGTTTTTTTTTTACAAAAATTATTAGTTACAAACTACTGGAAGTTGAGAGACAATTTGTATTTTGCTTAAAAAAAAAAAAAAAAAAAAAACAGTAATAGTAACGTAGCAATAAAGACAATATTGGAAAAATATTCATTATGAGTAATGATAGGGGAATTGAAAAAGAATCCCCGAATTAACAATGAATTTGACGTGGTTGGCTACATCAACTTCTATTGCTTACATTCTAACATATTTTTCTTGTTTTTGTCCTTATACTTTTTACGTACCCTTCATTTTCTCTTTCTAAAATTTATCAATCTCACTCTCAAAATAATCTCTCTTGTGTCTTCTATTGTCACCATACATCAGTTCATAAGTTCTTATTACACCTGTAAATCTTTCATCTCCTTATTCTTTTTCTGTTGTTTTGTTTCTTTCAAGAAGACCAAATTAATAAGCCATCATGACAGATGAATAGACCTATGGTAGAGTATGAACAAATTTGAAGGTATTTGAGATATTAAACAAATGGATGGTGGCGGTGATAGGAAGAACAAGTAGATGGATAAGATAGAAATTCATATAAAATCTAAGAGAGAATTTCACAAAGGGAAAGAGATGCGTTAATTTTCAGAGGGAGAGGGAAAAAAAGGATTGCAGAGAACTATAAAAGAAATTCATAACCCAAATCTAAGAAAGAAAAAATGAATAGAATCTCAGTGAGAGAAGTGAGATGATAGAAACTTAGAGAGATAAAGTAATGGATAAACATTAAGGATATACTTGTCATTTGTTAAACAATTATTTTTTGAAAACTGTTTAAATAGATGAGGTGGCCAAAAACACGTCAGATTTTGTGCCTA